TCTTAACCGGTCTCGGTCCTAGAAAACGTTAAAATCCACAACCGGTCCATACCGGTCCCGGTTCCGGTCCTCCGACGGTTACGGGCCGGGCTGGGCCCATTTGGCCATCTCTACTCCGAGCTATCCACGAAGCAGGTGATCGGTCTGGGGTTAGTCAGCTCGTTCGTATAACGAGTTGGATATCCAGGTTAATTAAAAAAAATCTTAGTGGTTGTCTTGAATGGGTTCTCACACTAAGCAAAAACCAGTCAACTATGATGGAGTCTCATATAACCATGTGAAAAATAGTGTTTACTTCACAATGTGATTATTTTGAAAAACATGGAATGTTTCACATTATGAAACAACACAATTTTTTCATATGCTTTGTTTCACAATGTACACGATTAACGGTTCTCAACCTTATTATGGTCCTAGGAATGCAAATAATATGCTTTGTTTCACAATGTACACGATTAACGGTTCTCAACCTTATTATGGTCCTAGGAATGCAAATACACCCATATCGGACACGTGCACTCATAACACAATATTGCCTCTTCACTTGTACCATAGGGGCCTCATCTGCCAAAATCTATCTACACATTCACAAGCAAATCAACGAGAGAGAGTGAATACCAAAATGCATTACTAACCTCTAATCTCATTCCAAGAATTCAGGGTTCATATGCTAAAAATATTGCATACTTCTCTAATTTGTCCTACCAGATGGAAAATTACGAAATGCGCAACAACTTCTTACTGATTCACATTGAAACTAAGGGGCCGTTTACTAAACGCTTACCCGGTAAGTACTTACCGGATAATTTTCCTCACTGGATGAACATGGCAAGGGCCAAGAATCTTACCCGGTAAGAACGAGGATAAGGATGGAGAGTCTTACCCGGTAAGTAAGGGGGACGGCTCTTACCCGGGTAAGCGCTTACCAAGAAAATTGTTTCACGGAATACGTTTTGATGTACTACAACCTTACCCAATAAAATAAATTATAGTGTTAGACTCCTAACAGTAAGCACTTACCAGGTAAGCATTTAGGTAAACAGCCGCTAACCAAGTTTTATGCAAAGGTAGTGAAGAAAATAGATACAGTTATGATCTATACACAACATTCATCCTGAACTGTGATCTTTCAGTCATCTTTAGTTCATCCATTACCACACCAGTCAAGAAGATACCATGGAGCTCAAGTCTTCGATCTATCCATTTTTGCAGCATCACTTTAACGATATCGGAATAGCAGCAGAACCATAGCACTGAATGGCATCTCTTCCTCCTATTTCAACTTGTCACAAGAAAGAAAGAAAAAAGAAGTACATGAAAGAATGAAAAAGAACTCGCAAACGCAAATAGTTTGTGTGCATGCATATGTGAAAAAGTGATTGTATTTAGATACATCACTGGGAAAGTATGAGGATTTGCACCTTGAATACCATGAAGCTTGAACCATGCATCTTGTGGAATTACAGGGGTGGTCTGCTCACTGTTGACACTTGAAAATTCATATACCAAGAGAAGCTAAACCAGTAATTGTTCCAAATGAAGGATATATTTCTATCTGCTTTTCTGTTTAAAATCCTTTGGACCAACAAGATCACCTTCACATTCATTCATCTCCTCCAAGAACTTTAGTGCTAATTCTGATTTACCTAGTCTATTCAAATTGCTAATTAATGATCGATAAATGTAAATTGAAGGGCAGATATGACCACGCTTCATGTCTTGAAAGAGTCTCAATGATTCTTCTATGTTACCTGATCGAAGAAAACACTCGATCAACGCAGTGTAAGTTCTCAAATCAGGCTGCAGTCCCACTTTCCCCATTTCTACCGTAAGCACTACACAAAAGTCAAATCTGCCAACCTTCCTCAAGCTGTTTAACAAGGTATTATAGGATACAATATCCGGGGCTATATTCACCTTTTTCATGGAAGCAAACACATTTAGCATCTCGTCCACTTGTCCGGTTTTACCAAATATCCCCAACATCGTGTTATAAGTAATCAAATCTGGTTCACATTTCAGACTCTTCATGTGATCAAATACAAGTATAGCATTATGAACATGTCCACAATCTGCAAATGCATAGATAATCCTGTTGACAACCGTCACGCTTCCTGTACAAATCAGTTCCAAGATTTCCTTGACAAAGATTAGCACCAAGGTTAAATCGTTGCTCTTGGAAATAGCCTTGGCAACATTAAAATAAGTAGTTGAATTCATCAATAGATGGTTAACTAACATATCTTTAAAAATAAGGGACACAATCCCTGTATCATTCTCTTCGCACGCTACAGCCAGAAGGAGATTATAAGCTGGCAGACTATTGATGGCATGCTCATCACGCAATAATTGCAGCAGCTTAGCAGCTGCTCGTAGCTTTTTCTTTCTGCAGAGTTTACTAATGTGATTAGTACACGATTCCATGACGGAACTTGGACATTTCTGTAATTCAGAAACAATTTCACCCAAAACTTGATACGCCACTTCCTCCTCCTCAACTGATGCTTCTGTTACCAATGAACGACTTCTGAATGTGCAGATGCTTGGTGTGAAATATAGTGGACACATCCATTGGACTTTAACCGGGTTTGATGATATATACTTCTGCATTTATAGAAATCCCTTGTAAGCATGAGATCAATAAGTTGCATTTTGTACCCAAAAAAAGCCTTGTTTTTCAACAGAAGCAAGATTGGTTTAACAACACAATAAATTATGGCCAATATCTAGGGTTAGAACCAAAGATGTAAACGGTATTAAGCAGTCCTCATTACCATGATTCCTAGAATGGGATAGAATTTAAATGCTAGGCAGCCATGATTCCTAGTAGCAACGAGAATTCAACGGCATGCCACCTAAATTTCAAACTCCACCCCAACACACACACCCCAAAACAAAAAAGAATATTACAAACAAACATTAAAAAAGTACCCCTTGTTATAAGAATCTTCAGTTTCATATCATTCCACCTACCCCCTCTTTCTAGAAAAGAATCCACTTAGAACTTTAGAGATCCAAACCTACTTTCCAAACCTTTAATATATGTGTGTGTGCTCGTACTACATGATTTTCCCTTTGCAAGAATAAGCAAATTTGGAAATGAAGAGCCAAATATAAGGGTTGTTTGTGCATTTATGTTTCTACAATCTATCCAACATCACTCACTCCTTCAAACTATAATCCATTGTGGCCATTTTCACAACGGAGCTAGTTTTCAAGAAAAGCTCAAGAAAGTTACTCACTTATAGATTTTACTACCTCCAAAATGTTTCTACTCTTAATACTTTTCATATATATGAATGTCATCAATTTTTTCGGCATAACTAAACCACAAGTCTGAAGTGGAAAAATGAACCATTTGATGAAGTCAAATCTAGAGTTTTCTTTTTCTTTTGGAGATGGAGGAATGGTTAATTACTCTAACAAACATCCTAGTTTACAAAGACCATCAGGCTTTGAATATATTCACCATCCAAGTCCTGTCGATCAAATGCAAAAAAGAACCCTAGTACAGTTATATACATATGGCAAATGAGAAATCGATTTCAACCACCATTAAGCAGAAATGGATTTCAAGACAGAAAACCCCTAGATGGAACTGGAAAATGTAAAGTTTTGTACAAAGAACGACTTACAGTGTTCAGGAAATAAGAAATTGATAAATGGAGTGTCTTAACCAATCCTCCACGATCAATAGTCCGATAGTTGCAAGGACTAGATAAGAAGGAAGAAATGCATAACAAGTTAGGGTTCTTCCATCGAGGAACAACTGCTCGTTTCAAGCGATTCGAAGCACAGAGCATCTAATTCGATTAAGCTTCTAGGGTTTATCTAGGGTTTAAGAAGGATGTTACATCTGAATCGAAAACAACTGCTTCTCCGTCGGCGAGTGGTTCTTGGTAGCCATCGTTGGGGTTTAAGTTTTTACCGTTTGAGGGATTAAATATTGGGGCACGACCAGAATTGTTTATTATAGAATGAACTACATTTTTGGTCCCTTTCGTTTCTCAAAAATAATACTTTCCGTCCCCACAGTTTTAAAATTACAGTTTGGTCATCGTGGTTTGTAAAAACGACTGGATTTGGTCCCTGCTTCTAACAGCGGCCTTTTCTTCTCCGGCGGTTACATCCCGTCTCCGGCGATCACCGCTGAGAGCCATCCATAAAGAAACTCCTGCACTCACGGCCACTCCACCTCTCCCATCCCCTTCTGTATCCCTCCCCTTAACTCACAACGAACTCACTCCAACAATTACCCTTCTCCGGTCATCTTCCATGATGACCCAGATGCACATGGAAGGAATCAAACTGAGGTAGGGTACGATCGAAAAGACGTGTTTGTAAGCAGTGGCGGATCCAGGATTTTTGTTTAGTGGGGTCACCTTTAAGGTAGACTAAAAACCCGCAAAATCGTCCGATGTGTTTTTAACCTAATTACAACGTTTTCGAGGGAATTTTAAAGTTTTTTGGTTGATTTCGAAGGATTTTTTTAGTGTTTTTGTCGATTTCGAATAACTTTTTTGGTTTTTTTGATTGATTTCAACAGATTTTATTTGTTAGAGTAACAGCTTTGATTGGGGTTGGGGGCCCCGGAAAAATGTAATTGGGGGGAAAGTGATAGGTAGATCATGTAAAACCTAAATTTTAACCTATGAATTTTTGTTTTTGAGTTTTTGACTGGGGTCCCTTCCCCCCTCCTTTAAACCACTACATCCGCCCCTGTTTGTAAGGTCTAACAGAGGGATCCAGTGGTGATAAGAACTCACGATGGTGAGATCTAACAGAGGGATCTCACAGGTGATGGTGGTGATGAAACCCCTGCTACCACCCAAATATATCGTTGTGAATTGAAATCAAAAGATGAAATCAAAATCGAAAGGGGTTGGTGGGAGCTCGTTTTGTTTGCGGTTTGCATCTTCGGTCATCTCTTTGTTTTTTTTTTTCATTAATTATTGAGTCTTGGCTTTTTGGACCCGTTTTAGGTCTTGGTACAAGAAGATATATGATAGAGATTTTGGATTTGAGGTTTTAATTCGGGACATGAGACGATGACCAGAGTATAGCCGAAGACAATGACCAGAGTATAGCTGGAGACGATGTCCAGAGTATAGCCGGATGCGATGACCCTACGACTTAAATGTGAATGTTAACAAATGAAGCAAATAGCCCTTCGTCAATGTACCTTCCCCCCACCCCTTCTCCGATGAACCCCCTTCTCACGAGGCCCCACTTTAACGACATTGACTATCGAACACAAATCACAAGGTTGAATCACAAACTCAATCTGGAGTTCGTCATATGTTTGATTTGCAACTCATGTTATTTCCTACTGGCTTATTGTATCTTCTACTTCAATTTAGAATATCTTCTGCTTCGAATTTGAGGGAAACAATGGGAACAGGGGTTGGCTCTCGGTTTTTAGGATTTTGAGGTTTTATGTTTGGTTTTGATTTACACTTAGATTTTGAATTTGAGATTTTAAATTTAGATTTTGGATTTGACGTTATGATTTTGGACATTAGACGATGACCGGAGTATAGCTGGAGTAGATGACTCAGATTTTCACCCGAGACTATGATATGAGATGTCCAACAAATGCATGTCGGGGGTTAACCGGAGATGATTCCAATATTCCAAGCAATATATATTATTTAATAAATTTTTTATTTTTTTCTAAGTAAAATGATAAAAAAGATGAGAAAAACTAAAATATTCCTGATTTAACATAATATTTTAATGGTTGTTAGATAGGGACCAAATCCGGTTGTTTTTGCAAACCACGATAGCCAAATAGTAATTTCAATACTACAAGGATGAAAGACAATACTTTTGAAAACCACAGGGACCAAAAATATAATTTACCCGGTAAACGCTAACCATGGTAAGAGTTGTCACCAGGACTTACCGGGTAAGACTCTTGGTCATTGCCTTTGCTCTTAAAGGATAAAATTCTTGGTCCTTGCCATATTCACCCGATAAGATAATGTGACTTGGTAAACGCTTACCCAGGTAAGCATTTGGTAAACGGCCCCTTAATTAAATAATTTATTTTAAATTAATACATTTATCGTATGTAATAATTTTTGTGTACTAGAAAATTAGTCATCTTTTATAATTGCGATGATACTAGGAGGCCGTTTGCTAAACATGACTAGGGTCGAGAATCTGATCTGGTAAGAACGTGAAGGTAACGACTCTTACCTAGCAAACGCTTACCATGTAAATTATTACACACGATATCGTTTCAATAGATTACAATTTTACCCGATAAAGTAAGTTACAATGTTGACTCTTACTGGTAAATGCTTTCCAGATAAACGGCTCCTAAAACGATCGCTTACCCGGTAAACACTTATCGGAGGAGTGTACTCTTAACCATTTACTCACATTTCTTCATTGCTATATAACTACAAAAGGGATTAACAATGCAATGTGATCATCTTATTTATTCATTATGAATATTCCATTTCAAGAAAGCAAAAGTCAAGCTTTCCAAATTGAACCAAAACCAACAACAAACCAACACTCATTCTTCTTCTTCTTCTTCTTCTTCAAAGCTCAATCTTTGGCAAACTGCCTCCTCTTCATCAAAGTAAGACTTCTTCCCAACCAACTCAGCAACCCTCTTCGCGGGCCCCGAGTCTCGACCCGTCTCGTCCACGTATCGAACGGCTCTTATCCTCGGCAACACGTCAGGCATCACCACATCAATCGAACCCTCGCTCTCGTTCTCGTTCTCATTGCTATCAAGATCCAATCTTTTTGGGATCACAATCTCACTCGGAATTTCCCATCTCCTCTTCACTCGACCCTCCGTCCCACGTGACTTTCGGTCGACGTTATTGTCGGTCAGCGATTTCTTCCGCATCAATGAAGTCACAGTAGCCTGGTTATAACGGCTTGCAATCACCCTACCGGGCTTCAACGGCTTCTTAGCAGGAACCGATTGCTCTCCAAATAGTTTCTTCGGTTGAATACTCGACAGGACCGAATCATCTTTTTTCATCCCTTTTTTCGCTCCCCCGGTTGTAACAGCTTGTCTAAGGCTCAGATTCTTGCCTCTTGAAACCCCCATTTTTTCTTCTTCGATGTCTTCGAGTTTCCAAAAGCAAGATTTTCTTCTGTTTTGTGTAGATTGGATTGGAGTAGCACCCAATTGTTTCGATTTTGGATTCGTTGCAGACATGATCTCATTCGGTCCCAAACTAAAACCCCTTCTTTGAATCTTTGTTCTCGAAAAACCCGATTCTTCAATCTTTTTGACACCAGAATCTCTGTTCTTGATGATCTTTGCTGCATCCACTGTTCTTCCCTGTTTTTCAAGATTCTTGGCATTCTGATCTGCTCTTTTGAGCCTGAGCGATTCCAATCTCGCATACAACCTACTGATTTCATTCTCAATCTCGATCTCCTCATCAGTCTTCTCCTCCAGATTCTCAACAACAATCTTGATCGGAAGATTCTTCAGGGGTTTAGATTGGTGAACAAGAACAGTGGATCTTGCAGAAACAGAAACAGCAGATTTCGAAAACCCAGATGGGCTTTGGTTTTCTTTACTGGAGAAGGAAGAATCGACAGAATCAGAAGGTTGATTTGATTTCTTCAAAGGCGACCAAGACGACGATGGTTTGATGAGATTACTGGAATTCAACCCGTCGCCATTGTCGAAAGCTGCATTGTTCCATATCTGCACATCTTTCTTGTTGCTAATGGCTTCTGGGTATTCGTTAAGAACGCTCATTTCTACTGGAAATCAAAGAGAAATTAAGACAGAAACGCGAAAGAGAGTGAGAGATTTGATTTAGGGTTTGTTGGAAGAAGAAGGATGAATTGGGGGAAGTTTGTAGATTTTGATTTTGTGACCGTTGGACAAAATTAGACGTTGAGGATTGCGCTCCTCAATCTGGACGCTCCGATATGATTTAAGGGTTAATTACACTTAAAATTTACGATTTCGTAAGCTTTTTACAAAATTGGTCCACATTTTTAAGTTTATTCCCTCTTCAGCCCCTGGAATTCAAGATCTTGACATATTAGTCCTTCTCACACACTTTTATTTAGGGGTGCTCAAAAACCCGACCAACCCGATCAACCCGACCCAAGACGAAATAACGCAACCCGAAGTAACTCGATGTCTAATCGAGATGTAAAATTTTCAAACCGTAGATATTGGGTTGATATTGAGTTACTATTGTTTGAACTTAACCCAACCCGATGAACCCGATATCATTTTATTTTTTTGATTTAATATGATTGTTGAATTTCTAATAATATATACATTAGACAATTACACTATCACGTATGCGCTTCATATACGCATATTGTCAATCTATTCACATCTCTGTATAACTCATTCGTATATATGTTTAGTAGCTGTGAACATATGAACGTCAATTGAGAAAATTAACTGAATGTGATATACGTAAGAACTATGGATAAGTTGTATCAAATGGTTGATGATGAAAAAGAGATTATGAGTAGAGAAATAACATATTCAAGGTTAGAAAAGTATTTTAATGTACCAAAGTATCAACCCGACCAAGCCGACTAACCCGACCAACCCGTACGGTTTGGGTTGGGTTGGGTTGCATTTTGGTTTGGGTTGCACTTTGGTTTGGGTTAAGATTTTTCAAACAGTACGCATTAGATTGAGTTGTTCAAATGTCTTCAACCCGATCAGCCTAACCCATGAGCACCCCTACTTTTATTCGTCGAAGTCATAAAAAGTTTGTAATTTATGACTTACTGTTATTTAAATATTTTGTTTTTCAAGGTTCAAAATGACGTGAGTCGTGGTGGACGGTGACGTGCAGATTTCTGTTTTTTAAAGTGTAACTTATTCCGATAAATCTTTATATTATATAAATTATTATACATATAAACATATATTTTCTACTATTACTCGATGAGTCAATGATATTAAATAATTTAAATTAGATTAATTATATTATGAACTAAAAAATAAGACATTAAATAAGTAAGAAAAATCAAATATTGTGCTACAGAAACCGTGCATTAGGTCATGGCGTGCCACATGCATAACATGACGTAAGATACAAGTCTTGAGTCATAACGTGCCATGACGGCTGTTGTGACGAGTTTTTTTGGACACTGTTAAAAACCACCCATTACTCCATTCCACCTTTTAACATAACGAAAAAAAATATATTGAAAAATCTCGAATTGAAATTTTCCTAAGGCTTGTTTGTTAACAACTTAATGAGACTTATAACTTATTTGACTAATTATATATGACTGTTTAGTAGTGACTTAATGATACATAAAGTGGCTTATTCAGTAAGCTTATATAGAAAGGTTTATGCAGAAAAACCAAGCTTTTCCAAACCTACCCTCCCAATAAAAAACACGTTCATTCCATTTATAAAAAAAAATCATTCTAATTAACATTTTGCCTTTTATTTTACCTTATACTAAGGGGATATTTACTAAACCGGATAAGCGCATAATGGTATTACTTACCTTACCATTGAGGAAGACATGAATCTTACTTTGTAAGAGGTATAACAAGAACCAGGAGTCTTACTTGGTAAGTTAGAAAAAAAAAACTCTTACCCGGTAAGTCTTATCGGGATTAAGATACTTACCAACAATCCATTTTGATAGTCAAAAATCTTACATGATAAGGTAAGTGAGGGTAATTTCTTTTACCAGTAAGCACTTACCCGATAAACATTTGGTATAAGGCCCTAAGCGTGCCCCCACTTGTCGGAGATTCTGAATCCGCCACTATTTAGTATGCTAGGTTTTTAGAGTTATTTCACACAAAAAAAAAAAAAAAAGTATTTCTATCACGTAAAACTATGGCTTCGTTTGGCAAAGTAGTTGATAAGCTAGATGATAGTTGATAAATTAGTTGGTAGCTGATAAGTTAACTGATGAACTAATCAGGTTTGACAAAACCATACTGATAAACTAGTTAAAATATGCAAAATTATTAATAATATTAGCGGTTAAATAATCATAATGAAGGGTGAGTATAAGTAAGCTGATAATAGGTGAAAAATGTAAAAAACGTAAACATGATAAACATTAAGTAAAAAAAATATATATAAACATTATATTTAGGGGCCGTTTACTAAACGTTTACTTGGTAAGTGCTTACCGAATAAATTTTCTTATCTATTGAACATGATAAGGGCCAAGAATCTTACCGGGTAAGAGCGATGAGAAGGATGGAGAGTCTTACCCGGTAAGTGAAAATTACGACTCTTACCCAGGTAAGCGCTTACCCGGTAAATTATTGCATTCAATACGTTTTGATGTACTAAAATCTTACTTATCAAAATAAATTATAATGTTGACTCCTATAATTAAGTACTTGGAACATCGGGAAGTAGAGATTAAAATCTCGTCACTGGAAATCTTAGACATGAACTAACTAATACCAAGAATATTAGTCGAAGAATGTTGTGCTTATTTCTGCGTATGCCTTCGTTTGAGAATCGGCATGTGTTCATCCTTAGAGTTATTGGCCTCGATAATTGGTCCTCATAACTGCATGTGATTGGTCAAGATCGGTTTAAATAAAATTAAATACAATGAAGAGAGAGATGAAGTCCACATAGGTGATTTTATATGCAAAAAGGGAAATTATAAGATAAAGAAGGGGAATAAAAAGGCATGATATTTTCATTCTCATTCACAATAAGTAGTTGGTATTATATCAACCAAATACACCACATACATTAAGCAACTCAAACATAGCAGCAACCACACTGAAAACAACACATACACATCAACATTTCATCTTTCAAGACAACCCGAATACGTTGTTATTCGATTTCCTTTATTCCGGTCAGGTAAACACGACACTGGATCACGCTCCCACCGATCCCAAAACCAGGCATAACCATTAAACCAACCTTCGGTTTCTCACCACTTTCAACCACAACGAAATTCTTCACCACGCTATCCATGTAAACCTCCGAAAACTCACTTCCTTTGCTCACTTGAAAAACTTTTACCACCGGGTCAAAAGAATGAGCCAAACGGTGCAACAGCCAGATCGCTTTCGCTAATTTTAGAAACGCCTGATAGAACGGTGTTCTTGGATGACCACCTCCAATGATGTAGTTCCTGTGATCCAGATTACCAAAAAAAGAAGCTTCCATTTTGGGGTGGACAACAAGTATGTACTTGCTCCTGCAAAATTTTCCAAAATCGGAGTCCGGGTTTTGCCCAACAGAATCGAGCGGATCCATTTCTCGTGAAGCGAGATACTGCTGGAAGAAGCTTTCTTTACTGCTGCTTGCGTCAGTTTCTGATTTAAGACCGAAGTTTTCTTGCTGAAAACCGCTGAACATCTTTTGACAAATATGGTATTCGAACGCGTACTTTTTGTGGGCCCTCTTTGCGTAAACAATATCGGGTTCAATCGAGTTTGCAGCTGCATCAAGGTCCCAACCAGCAGCTTTCATCATGTTGATTAACGGTTTGGAAAAATCATGAATAGCTTTGGAAGCAACCTCTACGGCTGACTTGAAAAGCTCAGGCGTCAAGTCTGTAGAAAATGGCTCGTTGTCATCAACTGAGCCCTCAGACTCCTTGGATGATGACGATAAACCCCTCAGTTTGAGATTCTTTTCCAGTTTTGCTCGCTTTAGAGTCGCCTCTTGGATATGATGCTGTAACTGAAGAATCTCGGAATCTTTATTATGAATCTCGGACTGAAATTTCTTTACCATCACCTCGTAAGTCTTTAAAAGACTCTGCTGCTCTTGAATCTCAGCAGCCAATCGAGAGTCCTGAGGAGATATGTATGTGGGCCGTGGGTTGTTCTCCCGGTAAAAATGTTTGAGTTCTGAGAGATTCTTGAGCTCGGAAATCACAAGCTTATCAGCAGCTTGGATTTTGTCAGGGTCATAAGGAGTGTGAGCAGATTGAAGTCGGATATAAGCTGATTTTAACGAAGAAATGTTGGTGAATATCTTAGAGACCAAAGCTTCAACAGCTTCAGGATTTTGATTTGCAGCCTCTTCCATGGGTTGGGGATGGACCTTCTGGTTACTGATTTGGGAATCTTTTGCTCCACCCAGTTGCATAGCTACTTCCTCCTAGGAAAGGGATGTTAAATGGGTTCCCCACCCAATAAAAGATTCAGATGGCCTGAGAAACAAGCATTTTATGAACAACCATAAAAGGAACTAATCATGTCATGACTGAAAGCTAAGATGTTTTTGAATGTCAGTTGAATTACTTTCATCAATAATTTTGCAATCAATTTGTTACAATTTGAGAAATAGTTGCCAACTAATTACACCATATAACAAGTACTGCAATGGCATAATATAACTTCTATGTTAACCAAGTGGATTGAATGAATTCGTATATCTGAATATGGAGAGGAGGTAATAACTTCTATGTTAACCAAGTGCATCAGCTTAGCACAAAAATGGAAGCAAATTTCAAATAGAACACAATTTAAAACAATATCTCAAGAATCACAACCACCAAAAAGAAAAATAGCGATGAATTTAAAGAGTTTCACCCTCGAATTGCATTACATCATACCACCAAAAAGAAAAACATCCCCAAAAACCTTATGAAATCAGTTTACGACATCAATAAGTAGCAAAGATTTCTAACATTAATCATAAATTAATGCAAGTTTATGGTCAAGCAACATGATATCAGCACCTACACACCGGAACTGCACCAGGCAGGCAGGTGACTAGTAGGATGACTAGTGTGGGATGATTAAACCATCCAATTGTGATTGTGAGTGAGAGAAAATACGAAGAAATGGAGGTTTCAACAAGTCTGATTAATGGCGTTGCGATGGAATTTGATCGAGATTCAGGTTTTGGTTTTGTACAAGCATAATTGAATTATGACATCAAACCCTAACTATGAGAACCAAACTACAACTAGGTATTACCACTCTCAAATGGCATACCTGTAAGAGGGACGATCGGGGCAAGGAAGACGAGCTAACGAAGCAGAAAAAAGTGATTCACAGTGAAGCTGTAAGAAAAATGGGAGGGGGATAAGTGGAATAAATAACGAGGAAAACAACTATCCCAAGTCTTACTGAACAAGTGGGCTCTTTTTCTATTAACCCCCAATAAGTTCCTACTTGAGAAATTTCTAGAAGTCTTTAGGAAAAGATTTCCATGGACTAGCCAACTCTTGCCAATCAACTCAAATTGATAGGTTCACCAGTGAAATATATTTCTGAATGAAGACATGCTACCAACACAATAGCACACCCAATAAGTTCATGTTCCATATATATTGAAGCTTTTAAGCATGGCATCTAGTTAGTTGAAATCTCAGTTCAAGAGGAAGCTTTGATACTCCCTCCATCTCAAAATAAATGTGTCTTCTTCCTTTGCAATTAAACAGAAAGTCTCCTTTAATTAAAAATGAAGGTAGCATAGGTTAAAGAATATAATCTCACTACAAATACGAATAGAGAATTACCAAATGTGTTACCTACCTACAAAGTCCAGAAACTGGTAACAGGATTCGCGCAGCAAACATAATACTTTTCAACCTAAAAGCAAAAAACAACAATGAATTCAGTGTTTTCCATGTGTGAAATATGTGATTTCTCTAAAAACATCAATTAATTCAGCAAGAACTGAAAACAAAGTCAATTATCTGAACTAAATATATATCCTTTCTTAGGTTCAAAAGAAATATGATAAATGAATCAAACTTTTCAATACACATAGAAATCCAAAAGTTAGCCTTGTACTTAAAACAACCTCAAGCTCAATCTTGAATTACGAACTTCGCATTTAAGCACATGCAAAGGTGAAAACAAACTTCACATCTTACATTCGGAAAAAGTAGCAACTTTGGAGGGAATATCAACCATAGACAGCTCAAGCCCTCAAGTTTGCATCAAAATTAATAACCCAAAAACAGTAGCAGATCCATGTCATTGAGTGGGAGGACATAGGACCAGACATCAAAAGAAAATTGACTAATAGCCCCATTACAAAAAGTTAGCAATTCCAGTATAACAGAATATCCTTCCTGAATATTGGAAGTTAGTTTAGGTTATACAAGCCATTTCCAAGAGAAGAAAACAAAACATAAACTTTCAAATTCATTTTCCTTTCAATTAAAATCTCCGAACTAGATCACTTTCTTATTCAAGTTTCTCAATTTCTTATGAATTATTTTAAGTACAGTACCTTGTAAAGCGATCACTTATCCTAAAATTCCTAGATCCACCGCCGATCCCCAAACACAAGCCAAAATTCATATTACTACCAGTTGTTGATCGACAATTGATCAGGCAATCTACGATGAGACGACGCTTACACCACTCCGAAGCTAATGATTTGGAATTCTATTCAAACATACTGACACCAAAAGTGAAACAAGAAAGAAAATGCAAAAATTTGTTATAGTAAAGGAATCCCAACGGAAAATACCTAATCGGAGACCTCGCCGGAGAAAGGATGAGCACATGCCGATTAAAGAGGTTTCAAGAAGAGAAGAAGTCGAGTTGGGGCTGATGGAAATGAATAAAACCCTAGGAGAGAGAAGAATCTTTGTTGCTTTTATATTAAATTCGTTTTGTTTTGTTGATTGGGCTTTCTTCCTTTCAGCCCATCTCAATCGTCGGGCCACGTGGACCTCCATTTATAGTCATCTACCTACCTTTACACTGGAATACTGGATAGGGAAATGAATGAATATGATATAAATCTCTGTTTTACATGAATTTAATGTGGAATAGACCGAAAGAAAATAGAATAAACTTGTTCCATCCTTTTCTTATAAAATAAGGTAAAACAAACTTATATTTTATTAATATAATATTAAAATAAAATTTAATTATCTTTTAAAACAT